TTCTAGGTTTAATTATATTTTTCATCCTTGTAGTATATATAATAGTTAGAAAATGGAATATCAAATTGTTTTTTAGATAGGAAATCAAGTATAAAATTCAAAGTTAAAACAAATTATAATGTTCTTTGTATTATTACATATTGAATCACAAACTAAATATAAGGATCATTATTCTTAAAAGAATGTCTTACAAATTGGTTTGATAATTATATAACAAAAAGTTTATTTTGTTAAAAAATTACATACTTTTGAAAATAAATTAAATATACATGAATATGTGAGAAAGAAAAAAACATCCAAAGTAAAAGAATGAAGATGGTTTCTTTAGCTTGATTTTCTTATAACCATAAAATATTATTATACATATGTATTACATTTCAAAATATAAAAAACAATGAAGACATAAAGAAATACATAAAAACAAAAAATAAATAAAATTGAAAACAAACGTTTAAACTAAATAATTAATCAAACTCTTACAATGATATTTTAAATGAGTTTTCACCCCATGCAAGAACTTTAAAAAAAAACAAAGAGAATAATGAAGATATGAGATATGGTAGAGAAGGATGTGAGAATGACTATTTATATGATAAGAAGTGATGTAAGTTACATTTTTAAAATAATTAAATTAGAGGAGTTATAATTATAATTTATAGTGTGTTTAATTGGAATTCAATAAAGAAAGAGAATTTTTGAGAAATACCCCTTTTGGTGTACCCCTTTTTAAAAATACCCCCTTTATTTATCCATTTTCAAAAATAACCCTTTTTAAATATTAAAAATTAAAAAATTATATATAGTTTATAAGGTACTTCTATATAATAACTACTACTGGGAGATTCGATGTAAATATTTTAAATGGTTTTAAATAGTTTAAATCGTTTTTATAAGTTTTATAAGGTTTTTAAAAGGGTTTATACGGTTTTTATAAGGTTTTTATAAGGTTTTTATAATTTACTTTTACGCTATTTATGAAAGGTATATAAAGGTTTATACACATATAAAGGTAATTTGTGTATATATTTATAAGCTTACACACATATTTGGATAAATTTCAACATTTTAGTGGGTTTTTTGATAAAGTTTGAAAATGGGGTATTTTTAAAAAGATGTATATGAAAAGGGGTATTTTTGAAATTCCCC